GGAAAAGTTACATAAAATAATTTGGCTCGTTTGATGATCATTTCCAAAAATAGTATTCATCAGTGATTCCAATTGTCAGAACAGTAGTTTTGTGCTATGAACTTACACCATCGTTGATTCTAAATGAAAATAAAACTTGAAAAAATATTAAATTTAAATAGCGTTAATTCAGAATTACGCAATGCCATGCTCTATTGAATACCGAAAAAAAACTCCAATAAAAATAAACACTTTCTTGTAATTAAGTGTTCTTTCACTCAAACCAGACAATCCTTTTTTACTTGTTGATGAACATTTTAAATACCGGAACTTTTGATTTGAGCAAATAGAAAGTCAGTCCGAGAATCAAGGTTTTTCCGTGAGTCGATATATCAGAAATTTCCAAGGCTCACTTCCACTGACAGTTGTGAAAATATTGATTGCAATTTTTAGTTTCTCTGGAATTTCCATATGTATTTCTATTTATTGTGAAACTTTGTCTTTCCATAGATTCTTTATTAAGAACATTTAATTGAGTAACTAATCATGAAAAATATCCGTACATTTTTCACCATTTTCAGTTGTAAGAAAGTCACTTTATTGCTACAAATTTGAAAAAACCAGTGTCTTACTAATAGATATGAGAGAAAAACTAAATATAAAGAATCGATAATAGAAACATTTTTAAAGTGAATTAAATAATAAATAAAAAAATAAACTTGAAAAACAAAATAGAAACTTGAAAGAATCTAGAAGTGAAAAAAAGCACAAAAGAAAAAAAAAAACAATAAAAAAACCTGACATTAACATAGAAAAAGACGATTTCATGAACGATGATGAATATAAACAAATGATTAATTACAGTAATAAAAGAAGACTGACTCTATTACTATACTCTATTTTATGCATAAAAATTTAAGTTGGGATTTCCTGTAAAAAAACTGTATTGTTCTTTTTGTTTTAAGCACCTTTAAGTTATACAGCCCTTGTACGAAAAATAGTGAAATAAGTTCAAAAAAAAAAAAGATGTTATGGAAAAAATTGAACTATTCAGCAATATTTATTTGTATAACAAATGTCTATGTTAACGCCGAATGGACACTGTTACATAAGGCAGCACAGGATGGTTATTAACCAAATGCTCAAATTTAAAAAAAAATATTTTCGATTTTTCCCATTTCCAATTTTCTATTAGGTGATATAGCAACTGTTAAATTTCTTATCCAAAACGGACAAAATATCAATGCTGAAGATGATAAAAAATTTACATCAATTTATTATGCTGCAGTCAAAGATAATTGATCCAATATTGATATGTGAACGCTATAAAGTTGATCAAAAATTAGTTTGTTGAAAGAAATTTTTATGTATAGATGATTAAAGTATATTGATTTAAAAATCGTCGTGTACGTATGTACAATTTTCTTGAACTGTAGACAAATCAAAAATTTAAATTTTTAAGTTTCTAGTCGAAAAGGAGACAAATTTTAATATTAGACTGACTGCTTTTAAAGTGACTCCACTTTATCTGGCAGCATTTCATGGTAATTAATGTAAAAAAATGAGAAAAAAAATCTTTTCATTAAATGTTGTTGAATATAATTTTAAGACATACGGATATTGTTAAATTTCTTTTTGAAAAAGGAGCAGGTATAAATTGGCCAGATTCATACATGGGAACACACTACCATTCTAAAATTGATTCAATATTTTTGTATTTTCATTTAGGTCGCACAGAAACTGTTAAATTTCTTATCGAAAAGGGTGCAAATGTTAATGTTGTAGATAGAGATCTTTTCACTCCGCTTCATTTGGCGGCTGGCCAAGGCTTTTATGCTTAAAATTTAAATGAAAAACGAAGAAAAAAAATCAATTTTAATTTATACTTAACATTTAAAAAAAAATGACTATCTCTCTCATCCACTCTCTCATTCTTTTCCTCTCTCTTCTTCATATATGATAGCTCACTACATAGTGCACCTGAAAATATATGTCAACAGATATGCTTGCTATATATTTTGTTATTGGAATCGCGTTGAGTGTGCCGCTGTTTTTTTTTCATCGAAAAGCTTTGTTCTGTATGTTTCCGTTGCTGTCGTCAATATTTCTTCGTACGGAGCAAAGAAAGAAAGAAAAAAACAGCGGCACACTCAACGCGATTCCAATAACAAAATATATAGCAAGCATATCTGTTGACATATATTTTCAGGTGCACTATGTAGTGAGCTATCATATATGAAGAAGAGAGAGGAAAAGAATGAGAGAGTGGATGAGAGAGATAGTCATTTTTTTTTAAATGTTAAGTATAAATTAAAATTGATTTTTTTTCTTCGTTTTTCATTTAAATTTTAAGCATAAAAGCCTTGGCCAGCCGCCAAATGAAGCGGAGTGAAAAGATCTCTATCTACAACATTAACATTTGCACCCTTTTCGATAAGAAATTTAACAGTTTCTGTGCGACCTAAATGAAAATACAAAAATATTGAATCAATTTTAGAATGGTAGTGTGTTCCCATGTATGAATCTGGCCAATTTATACCTGCTCCTTTTTCAAAAAGAAATTTAACAATATCCGTATGTCTTAAAATTATATTCAACAACATTTAATGAAAAGATTTTTTTTCTCATTTTTTTACATTAATTACCATGAAATGCTGCCAGATAAAGTGGAGTCACTTTAAAAGCAGTCAGTCTAATATTAAAATTTGTCTCCTTTTCGACTAGAAACTTAAAAATTTAAATTTTTGATTTGTCTACAGTTCAAGAAAATTGTACATACGTACACGACGATTTTTAAATCAATATACTTTAATCATCTATACATAAAAATTTCTTTCAACAAACTAATTTTTGATCAACTTTATAGCGTTCACATATCAATATTGGATCAATTATCTTTGACTGCAGCATAATAAATTGATGTAAATTTTTTATCATCTTCAGCATTGATATTTTGTCCGTTTTGGATAAGAAATTTAACAGTTGCTATATCACCTAATAGAAAATTGGAAATGGGAAAAATCGAAAATATTTTTTTTTAAATTTGAGCATTTGGTTAATAACCATCCTGTGCTGCCTTATGTAACAGTGTCCATTCGGCGTTAACATAGACATTTGTTATACAAATAAATATTGCTGAATAGTTCAATTTTTTCCATAACATCTTTTTTTTTTTTGAACTTATTTCACTATTTTTCGTACAAGGGCTGTATAACTTAAAGGTGCTTAAAACAAAAAGAACAATACAGTTTTTTTACAGGAAATCCCAACTTAAATTTTTATGCATAAAATAGAGTATAGTAATAGAGTCAGTCTTCTTTTATTACTGTAATTAATCATTTGTTTATATTCATCATCGTTCATGAAATCGTCTTTTTCTATGTTAATGTCAGGTTTTTTTATTGTTTTTTTTTTTCTTTTGTGCTTTTTTTCACTTCTAGATTCTTTCAAGTTTCTATTTTGTTTTTCAAGTTTATTTTTTTATTTATTATTTAATTCACTTTAAAAATGTTTCTATTATCGATTCTTTATATTTAGTTTTTCTCTCATATCTATTAGTAAGACACTGGTTTTTTCAAATTTGTAGCAATAAAGTGACTTTCTTACAACTGAAAATGGTGAAAAATGTACGGATATTTTTCATGATTAGTTACTCAATTAAATGTTCTTAATAAAGAATCTATGGAAAGACAAAGTTTCACAATAAATAGAAATACATATGGAAATTCCAGAGAAACTAAAAATTGCAATCAATATTTTCACAACTGTCAGTGGAAGTGAGCCTTGGAAATTTCTGATATATCGACTCACGGAAAAACCTTGATTCTCGGACTGACTTTCTATTTGCTCAAATCAAAAGTTCCGGTATTTAAAATGTTCATCAACAAGTAAAAAAGGATTGTCTGGTTTGAGTGAAAGAACACTTAATTACAAGAAAGTGTTTATTTTTATTGGAGTTTTTTTTCGGTATTCAATAGAGCATGGCATTGCGTAATTCTGAATTAACGCTATTTAAATTTAATATTTTTTCAAGTTTTATTTTCATTTAGAATCAACGATGGTGTAAGTTCATAGCACAAAACTACTGTTCTGACAATTGGAATCACTGATGAATACTATTTTTGGAAATGATCATCAAACGAGCCAAATTATTTTATGTAACTTTTCCAATTTACTATGTGAACGCAGGTAAATTTTTTTTTTTCATGATGACGGTGTCATTCGATGTTGTCACCATCACCGCTATCACCAGCAGCGCTGCCATCGAACAATTCCGAAAAATCAACCGATCCCAAAATATGTGGAATGGTCACTGACGACAATCCCGAAATTCCTGAAAATTCCGACTGTCTACTATCAACGATGCTACCAGATTCAGTGATGGTATTACTTCCCCAGGTGGCACCAGTACTGTCGGGTGAACTTGAATCGTCTGGCCGTACGATTTCAGGACGTTCAGTGGATGTGGTTTGTTCTTCAACCTGTAGATTAAAATCGAAGTCGGCTGAACTACAAACAAAAACGCACATTTGATATAGATTCGGACATCACTTAAATAGGCAATTCAAACTCACCTGATGTTCAACATTGTCGACTATTGCATGGTTAATGACCGGCGGTGATTCCAATTCTTTGTACGCAACAAGAAGAATCGGGGAATCCATTTTACACGTAAATCCTTCCTGCAAACGATGAAAAAACGGATTTCATGTATGAAAATTTGAGTAATAAATGTCGAAAATGCTTTGTTTCTCTTTGTTTGCATCGAAGATATTCGTAAGCATTTGCTATTGAAATGTGAACAATTTGCACAGCCTGAAGGGAAGCAATCATTTGACATTGCATTGAATGATGACATCAAACAAACAGCATTGCTAATCAATAAGTGATTTATCAATATTCCGACACAAATTACGGTGCGAGAGAAAGAATTTCTACCTTCTTAAGTAATTGCACGAAGAGGCCATTTTTTACGATTTGTTTTATTTCGTCTATCACTATCTGCACAATGAATCGGACGTGGCGAAACGATTGCTGTTGCCAAGCATGCATTGAAGCTGTAAATCAAAAACGAAAGTAATTATGAAAGTAATCCATCCAATTTTTTTCATTTGCAATCCAAATAATATGCCAAATTACATACCGTGCATCTTCAGAACACACTGTTCAACCTCAAGCGTTTGTAGGTTCAAATCACATTTAATGCCTCCTACAAACATTGGGTCAGCGACACCTTTAAACACGTCCTCTACACCAGACATTTTTCTATGATACAATTTGAGAGGGAAATGCAAAAATTTTCAAGTGAAAAATCGAAAAAAAACAATCAGCAAACTATTTTCTTTGACAGCAAATGAACATTAATAAATGTGTTGACGTTTTAGAAAAAATGGCGGCAAACGAGTGAATGTGTGAGTGAGCAAACGAGTGAATGTGTGAGTGAGTAAGTGAATGATATATTCGCAGTGCTGCCGCCGTTTTTTCTAAAACGTCAACACATTTATTAATGTTCATTTGCTGTCAAAGAAAATAGTTTGCTGATTGTTTTTTTTCGATTTTTCACTTGAAAATTTTTGCATTTCCCTCTCAAATTGTATCATAGAAAAATGTCTGGTGTAGAGGACGTGTTTAAAGGTGTCGCTGACCCAATGTTTGTAGGAGGCATTAAATGTGATTTGAACCTACAAACGCTTGAGGTTGAACAGTGTGTTCTGAAGATGCACGGTATGTAATTTGGCATATTATTTGGATTGCAAATGAAAAAAATTGGATGGATTACTTTCATAATTACTTTCGTTTTTGATTTACAGCTTCAATGCATGCTTGGCAACAGCAATCGTTTCGCCACGTCCGATTCATTGTGCAGATAGTGATAGACGAAATAAAACAAATCGTAAAAAATGGCCTCTTCGTGCAATTACTTAAGAAGGTAGAAATTCTTTCTCTCGCACCGTAATTTGTGTCGGAATATTGATAAATCACTTATTGATTAGCAATGCTGTTTGTTTGATGTCATCATTCAATGCAATGTCAAATGATTGCTTCCCTTCAGGCTGTGCAAATTGTTCACATTTCAATAGCAAATGCTTACGAATATCTTCGATGCAAACAAAGAGAAACAAAGCATTTTCGACATTTATTACTCAAATTTTCATACATGAAATCCGTTTTTTCATCGTTTGCAGGAAGGATTTACGTGTAAAATGGATTCCCCGATTCTTCTTGTTGCGTACAAACAATTGGAATCACCGCCGGTCATTAACCATGCAATAGTCGACAATGTTGAACATCAGGTGAGTTTGAATTGCCTATTTAAGTGATGTCCGAATCTATATCAAATGTGCGTTTTTGTTTGTAGTTCAGCCGACTTCGATTTTAATCTACAGGTTGAAGAACAAACCACATCCACTGAACGTCCTGAAATCGTACGGCCAGACGATTCAAGTTCACCCGACAGTACTGGTGCCACCTGGGGAAGTAATACCATCACTGAATCTGGTAGCATCGTTGATAGTAGACAGTCGGAATTTTCAGGAATTTCGGGATTGTCGTCAGTGACCATTCCACATATTTTGGGATCGGTTGATTTTTCGGAATTGTTCGATGGCAGCGCTGCTGGTGATAGCGGTGATGGTGACAACATCGAATGACACCGTCATCATGAAAAAAAAAAATTTACCTGCGTTCACATAGTAAATTGGAAAAGTTACATAAAATAATTTGGCTCGTTTGATGATCATTTCCAAAAATAGTATTCATCAGTGATTCCAATTGTCAGAACAGTAGTTTTGTGCTATGAACTTACACCATCGTTGATTCTAAATGAAAATAAAACTTGAAAAAATATTAAATTTAAATAGCGTTAATTCAGAATTACGCAATGCCATGCTCTATTGAATACCGAAAAAAAACTCCAATAAAAATAAACACTTTCTTGTAATTAAGTGTTCTTTCACTCAAACCAGACAATCCTTTTTTACTTGTTGATGAACATTTTAAATACCGGAACTTTTGATTTGAGCAAATAGAAAGTCAGTCCGAGAATCAAGGTTTTTCCGTGAGTCGATATATCAGAAATTTCCAAGGCTCACTTCCACTGACAGTTGTGAAAATATTGATTGCAATTTTTAGTTTCTCTGGAATTTCCATATGTATTTCTATTTATTGTGAAACTTTGTCTTTCCATAGATTCTTTATTAAGAACATTTAATTGAGTAACTAATCATGAAAAATATCCGTACATTTTTCACCATTTTCAGTTGTAAGAAAGTCACTTTATTGCTACAAATTTGAAAAAACCAGTGTCTTACTAATAGATATGAGAGAAAAACTAAATATAAAGAATCGATAATAGAAACATTTTTAAAGTGAATTAAATAATAAATAAAAAAATAAACTTGAAAAACAAAATAGAAACTTGAAAGAATCTAGAAGTGAAAAAAAGCACAAAAGAAAAAAAAAA